AGGTAGCAGTAGACTCTCCTCTGCTGTTGTTTGCTGTTTTTTCTTTCTTTTCTTTCTTTCTTTTCCTCGTTTCCAAATCCAGGAGCCGCGAGTGGAGTTTCTCAGGCATACAAAATTACAAATTAATATTATTGAGCCATGAAATCTCCACCACAATGCATGGCATGAAAGTGACAGGCTGGGAGGGGTAGGGGTTATCATTGGGAGCGGTAGGGGTTATCATCATCGAATGCGATATCTGTGGCCCCTTAGGTCTGGAAGGGGAAAGTGATACCTAGCAGAGGTTATTTAAACTTATTTTATTGTATCAAAATAATCAAATGGGCCTGTGAGCGGTTCCTGCAACCCTGATAGTTTTTGAGAATAAGCTTACTGAATTGAAGTCAATTAACGAATTTTCGGAATTTAAAAATTCACTAATGGACCGGGGATGGTGAGCTTTGTTTGTGATTGTGTTGGAGAGAGTAGACCGCCTGACGTGCCTACACTGACTCTACAATAAATTGGATTTGAACTCTTGGTCAGTTGACTGATAGTTAGTTGTGTATTCTACTATTCCGTTCATTAATTAATTTAATTTCATTTACAGAAGTTGGAAGAAAGTGCCCAACCACCCATGTGCTTTCTCTCCTGTTGGTTGCTGCAGGGTCATGAACATGACTCGTGTCGTGGAGAACCAAGTGTGCTTCAAATGGAGTGAAGGTATGCACTTGCTACTGGGGAGTGAACGCGGAATGGCGAAAGCTCATGTGTGGTAGGTAGTCAGGTGATAAGCTTTATAATCTCAATTAGCATAAAGCCTGGAGTGGGAGTAGGCGGGGCAATGCCTGCACAAACAGAACATGATGAACACACCGATATTCTTTTGTAAAAAACACGAGGGCACAGCAATGAAACACATTTGTGGGCAAAATTTCATTCAGTGGATGTATCTGACATTCAACATATTGACAGTGTGGGAAGTGCATCAATAATAGTTATCGGATATCTGCTCTCTCTCTCTCTCTCTCTCTCTCTCTCTCTCTCTCT